CAGCGAAATGAACGGGGCCTAAACCTTCTCTAAAATCCCCTCTCTCTCTCTCTTCTCCTCCCCCAATTTTATTTCTCCTAAATCTTGAAGTTGTCCTTCCAGATCCCCTTAATCTCTTACACAAACATTTTGCTCTCTAAACCATAGCTACCTCCGCAACCCCGACGACCATGCCCTTTTGTCGCTATCATTACTTCACTACCATGATCATCATACCATCATAACTGATAGAATCGAGTAATTTTAGATTCCTAGTTAAATATTTGTTTTTTGTAATTAAGTTCTTTTTTTTTGGTCTGGATTTATACGTTGTATTATAAGTTTTTTCTTTGTGTACAGTTACTTTGAAGAGAAATTTTGTTAAGTTCCTTCGTGAATATTTAAATTATATATGAGAAGGATTTGAAATAAGTTTCTTTGAACTTTTTAGTTTGTGTTGTCTTTACGAAGTCTGTGTTCTGAATAATGTCTTGGTGAAGATGTAGTTTGAACAAAAAAATAGTGCTGCGTTATATTTTAAGACTTTAAACGACGGTTTTGGTGAAAACCGTTGTTAAAAGTAGAACGTTAGAAGTTTGTTTTTGTAAAAACTATTAAAAACATCATCTAATGTGTTTTTTCTAGAATCTTGCAGTATTTTATGTGCATATTAGATGACGGTTATTAACTGTCATTGTATGTCTTAAACATTTCACGACTTTGGATATAATGACGGTTACACTAACTATTGTTGTATCTTTTAACAATGAATTTTAATTCATGTTAAATAATGCATCTGTATAAGAGAGTTTAGGTCATTTATGTTAAAGATTAAAGATAAGAATTAAAAATTAAAGATTACTATTAAAATATTTTTTTACCAATATATCCCTAGTTAAATGTTCTTTTTTGGGATCTTGTGGAATATTATTGATGAGTATAATTTCTTTTACTAATTTCTCCAATTAAAGAGTTTTTTATTTACTTTAAATTTATTAACTAATTTTTTTTTTAAATATGCTCTAATTCATTTTTTGCTTGTACCATTTTCTTTTTCTTTTTAGCTTTATCTTCCGCAAATATTCCCCTATTTAAACATCTATCTGAGTCATCTCACCAAAATTTTTGTTTTTAAATACCATCTACTTGTCGGGAATGGTGTCCTAGAAACACGATATGTAATATGATATTTATTATTTATTTAATAAAAGAGTTTATTCTTTATTTTTTGTGCATATCTTAATGAATATTTTATAAATATTAGTGAAAATTCCATGATTATTTATGTGACCTTAAATATTATATATAAGTGTTATATGCAAGAGGATAATATTTAAGGATAATAATCAAAACGATGTTCGTAATGAATTTAATTAAAGTTCAGAATCTTTAATTAAAACATTACTAATACAACTCATTCCCATTTAGAATGGAACGGTGTTTTTTGTACTGTTATTATGACGAGATATTGAATGAGTCTATTATGCATAATGAGATTATGTGGAACAGAGACACATACACAATATGAACTTCTGATAATTTCTGTTAACTATAGAAATTCTAATTGAGTCTACCGATGGCCATATATAGAATGATCTTAATTCTAAATTCTTAGCAGACTCCTATTTATAGATTTGTGTGTTTTGATTTACTCGGTACAAATTCTGAGATCCTCAATCCCATTCCTTGTATTTTGGAGACACAATGAAGTGAGTAGCCAAGAAAGATGTAGATAAATAATTCTCTTGAGGGTTGATTTAGTACTTGGATCAGTAGGAGCGCTCCAATTCATGAATTTATTTTATGAATCACTGTCCAATAGAGAATCAATGGTACTCAAAGATAAAGATGTAATTATAGAGGTTAACGGATTTCACCTAGCTCTAATTATGGATTATTTATGGAGGATTAATCGATATGCAATGACTATATCAAATGGAAACTTCATAATTTAGAAGTAATTTATGTCTATAATTATGAGTGCAATTCTAAGTTTATAGTGGAGTAACTTTTAGAATTAATAAAATTAATTAATTAATTAAAGAGTTTAATTAATTTTTAATTTTATTGGAGCTCAGAATTATAGGTCCATGAGTCCCCGCATCGTCTTTGTAATTCTATAAGACACTAAGGGCATCAAGGATATTTTAGAATTATGAAATTCTAAAATAAAACACTCAAAGATAATTAATTAAGAATTAATTATAAGTTAAATAATGTGATTATTTAAGTTTACATTTAAATTTGAATTTTGAAACACACATGATGTGAACGCACAGCACAATGTGAATCCATTTGGGATTCAAATTGCTTGCTCTCCGTAGTTATCTAATTAACTTATTTGACAAGTTGTTCAATTTGAAATACAAATTGATTTAAATTTGACTTAAATTGGAATTTAAATTTAAGTTAAAATTGGATTGCAGGATAAAATTTTATCATATTCTTTATCTACAAAATTGAGCCTACCATAGGGAGAAACTTTCCTGTGGTGGCAAGCGAATTAAGATAAGGGAGAAGTGGATTTGCTTCAAAATCAAATTTGAAGTGGGAAATAATTATCAAGCTTTATCTTAGAGATAAAGATTAGATTTTTTCGGAGAGTCTGACTACTACTCTATAAAATAAGAGATTGTAGAAAATTGTGACACACATTTTTTGCTCTCTCCTAGTATTAGTGGCCGGTTTCTATAGAGTGTGGGAAGGAAAATTTTTCTCTAAAAATTTAACGTCGTGCATGTGTTGGTGTTCGTGGAAACCTTGAATGTTTATCCTCTAATCCCGTTTTGTTTTAGGTGTGTCCACACACACGTCTTCGTAGATTTAAGTAATCGACAAAGAAGATTCGAGTGTTCTAAACTAACTTGGAGCGAGGAACGTTTGAGGTCAAAGAATTCAAGTTATCATCCTAATCGGTTGCTAGGTAAATAAATTAATTTGATTAATTTATTCATGCATAAATTAATGTAATCTATAGAGTATCTCAAAGTTTTATGAAAATTTTTGTTATACATGATCCACTAAATACACGTTTCTACATCCGAAATCGTTTCGGAAACCAACACTACTTGATTATCTATGTGTATAATATTAGACTAAAACGCACATTTAGATGTCAAGGTTATTTTCATAAATTAAAATTTTCTGTTTGTGCATTGTTTCAAATGTTTATCATGATAATTTGTCGTGTTTTGACTTTTTTTTCTCTTACATTGTTGTTGACATTGAAAATTCGTCAACAGAAAAATAACGATTTTTCTAAAGAAAAAGACTAATTAAATGATCTAAAGCGTAATTAAAAGCGAATTAAAAGTAAGAACACACATAATTTATAATAATTCATCCTCAATTTGAGAGCTACGTCCACTGTGGAGAGGAGGAGAAAATTCACTATTTTCTAAAAACAATACGTGCACTAATGCTCGGATGAGACTTAGGAAATTTCTGGCCTGTTAATCCCCTATTTATACTCTAGGCCACCACCCTTGCTTGTTTCCTTATTCAAATTTGGGATAGTTCCCTTATATTTTGGGATAGTTTCTCAAAAAATGGAGATTACAATCAATTAAGGCGGTTTTCTTATTTGAATTTCATATATTTAAATTACAAATAATAAATCTCAGAGAAAATCCTGTGAATCTCTATCTCCGCGTAGCATCGACTTCGTAAATGCTTTCGGAAGTCTCTTTGCCTATATTTATGGATGTGGTCGACCTCATACTCATATATGATTCCTTTTGTAACGGTCAACTCCCTAGAGAATTGTTTACTAGCGTGACTTTTAGGGCTGAGGTGTCCTTTGTCTTTTAATGAACTTTTTTATGACTTGTGGGCCTCATTCAAGGTCTAATTTAGGGTTCGGCGTTTTACTCTATAACAATTGTCATTTCTACAATTTTTTTCTTCTATCTCACTTTTTGTTTCTTTTTGTTTTCCTAAAATACTTAAAATCAATTACCTTTTATTCTAACTGAGAATTTTAATAATTAATTTAATATATAATGTTGAATGTGTAGAGTGCCCTTGCACCTAAGTTCTCATATTAATACCACATGGGGATACAAAGAGTTACGGATTCAATATTTGTTATATGATGTTCCAGCTATTTATAATATCATGTTTAAAATATACATGAGAAATTGATTTCCGAACAAATCCCACCCTCCACCAATCTCTTAAGATGAGATTCATCTATAAATTGGCCATCTAATAAAAATAGAATATGAGTTCTCTATATTTGACCGAATCTAATTCTATTTGGGTCCCGTTCATGTGTTCAGTACATACAGCTATCTCTGTACTGTAATTAATATTACAATAATCTAAATAAGGTCGTTCTTTCAATTAGGTAATAGCAACATTATAATCTTGTCAAAAATAAAGTATCCGACATTTCATTTTATCAATACCGTGAACTATTTAAATTTATACCAATTCTTCAATTATATCTTCTGTATATAAACATTTCATACACACAATTAAAGGTCATTTATTAGCATTGGATCTTTACGATGTTTCACTCACAAATATAGCAAGAATGATTATTATATCGAATTATAAATAAAATGTCCAAACTTTATTTCTTGTAATATCGAATAGTAAAAATGGGAATTACATAATGTTGCTTTAAAAACATCCTATCTAACAATTTTAGTTTTTTTTGCTTTGTTTACTTTATTTTTTATTCTCTTGTAGTCCGTTATTGAAACAGCCTTTAGGGTTAATAATTCCAGTACTTAACCATAATTAAACGGAATCTTTATGGAATGATTCTCATAGTAATCCTTAAGAAATATGTTTCCCTAAAATTCTCACTACAGCTTGGCATTGGGAGTAGCGCATCCTTAAAAAACTCATGGGACGTTGTATCCTCGAGGTTGGACTACTGTGAAATCTGCAGATTTGCACTCGATTGGGTATTATCTAAGAAGGGCAGAATCTATCATGATTAGATTTACTAAATCATATCCAAACAAGGAGTAAATCTTATAATAGAAAATAAAAATCCAAGTCATAGGCATTCATAAATCATGATTACTATCACAGTAATGTTGTAAAATGACTCTGAGAACATTATCAAAAGAAACACGTGCATGGACAAACATAAGTACGTAAATGGACCACATTATTTCATAACCTTATTCGTAGAGCTTCAAATCGGATAACCGGGGTTTTGCAACGGCAATCAAAGGGTCCAACTTCTTCGTCACAATCCCAAATGTGTCTGATAAGTCCAGCTTCGCACCAAACTCCGGCAATTTCCAATCGAACGAGTGCAAGAACGAAGCTAATACAAAGGTCAACACTCTTTCTGCCAGAGGAAGCCCGGCGCAAATTCTTCTCCCGGATCCGAACGCAATGAAATTGAAATTGTTGCCAGTATAAGCCAATTTCCCAGCATTAACATCATGATCTTGGCTTGTTCCATTCATCATCAGGAACCTTTCGGGCCTGAATTCCAAAGGATTTTCCCAAAGAGTAGGGTCTCTTTGTATAGCCCAAGCATTTATATAAATAGAAGCACCTTTGGGAACTTTATAGCCACCTAGAGTTGTGTTTTGGTTTGGAGTACGTGGTACTAAAAGAGGAAACGGTGGATGTAAACGCAAGGTTTCTTTGATTACGGCGTTTAAATAATGCAGTTGGGACAAATGAGACTCTTCTACCATCTTGTTTAGCCCCACGACCTGTGTTAATTCTTCCTTGAGTTTATTCATCGCCTCTGGATTTTTGAGAAGCTCCGCCATCACCCATTCGACTGTCGTCGATGAGCTTTCCGTTCCACCCACCACAGGATCCTATTTGCAGACATCAATGGTAAGGAAAATGGTGTTCGAGAAAATGTTTCAAGTCATAACCAGAAACGATTTTTCTGCTGGTCAAAGAACTTCATTATGACTTAAGGTTTGATGTGTAAACATACAACTAATCATGCTAATATTGATTATAATTAATCTACTACTTGTACGTATATGTATGCCTGTGATAATATGCTCTCTAAAGCAAAGATAGTGATGTTCAAGTTTTAGTGCTGGGTTCAGTGAGAATGTTATTCAATAGTACTCAATCATGATATACATTCATCACGAATCAGGATATACATTCATCACGAATCATGATATACATTCATCACGCATTAATAATTGGTCTATAGATATGGCTGGCCATACTATGCCCAGCAAGCAGCAAGTACATTACAGGCATTCTTGATGAATTAATTAATTAATAATTGGTCTATAGATATACATTCATCACGAATCATGATTTTTGTTCTCTAAGAAAACGTGTTAATCTGGAAGACAAATTGCACGACTCTAGAGAGAAATCAATCAATATGGATTCAGGTACGCTTTCACTTACAGATTTATTAATTCTTGATGATCTAACATGAATGTTCTTGACTTTTGGGTGATGGTTTTTACCAAATTATTGATCTCTAACAAGTGGTATCAGAACCTCTTCATGTTAAATCATTGAGAACAAATTCTGGATGAATTTTTGTTGAATGTATTTCATTTTTTTCTTTTTGGTTTAAAAAAATGTGGAAAAATGTGTTATTGACCGGCGGTAACTTTCTGCCGCCAGCACAGTGAACTTCGGACGCGGCCGTGAGGCTGCACCGGCAAGGGGTAATCACGGTCACTAGGCTGTGGCAGCATAAGGAGTGTGGCGGCCAAAGGCCGCCGAATAAGAAAAAAAAAGGGGGATTTTTTAGCAGTTTATGCCGGCGGCCACCTTTGCCGCCGCCGGGTCTGGTCTTACCGGCGCAGCCTGTGGACTGTGCCGGTGGAGCATAGTCGCGGCCGCCTGGCCGCGGCACCTGCAACTGGCGGCCGAACGACCGCCAGTTCATCTAGGGGTCGAAGAAGACCACTAGGTCTTCTTTGATCAGCACGGGCCCAATTGGGCTTGTTACTGAAGAATAGCTATGGGCTCATCCCGTAGCAAATAAAAAAAGGAGAAAAGGGTTACCTATGGTAATCCTGCAGTATAAAGAGGTGGGCTGCTTTAGGATTCGGGTTAGGTTTACCCGACCCGGTCCAGCCTCGACCTGGTCAACCTTTTGACCATTGACTTTGACAAACGGTTGACCTTGACCGTTGACTTTGACCAATTGTTTTTTAATTTTTTTAAAAATTTTTGTTTGGGTCATTTTGGTGCAATTTTAAATTTAAATATTGGTATGGTTATATATATTTTGAGATGAATTAATTAAAGTAACATGTCGCCAAAGTGATCTCTCTTGTGGAAATTAGTTTGTTTTGGAATATAAACGGTTGTGTATATGTAACTTATGTGAATATTGATCGGCCCAAAGGAATGTCAATATTTAACAGAATTACATGTGCCCCTATGGTAATAAACGCGTGATGAGTATTCAGTTTTACACGTGAACAATAAATCGACCCAAAGGATGATTTTTTGTTTGGTGTGTCCTTATTATCAGTATTTGATTAATACACCAAGATATCACTTACAAGTTAATATTTTGTCCAAAGATGAAATGTTAATGGAGTGCCTGATATCTTAATATGGGGTTTACCTTTATTTGAATTTAATTTTTATTTTGGGACTTATGTGAGCTTGTTTTGTTTGTTTGTTTGTTGTTTTCTGTTTAGCTATGACTCATGCTAATATTACTACCAACATTAACTCTATTCCTAAATGGCTCTAACTTTAAGTCATGGCAAGAGAACCACTTGATAGTTCTCGGAGTCATGGATCTCAACCTTGCATTAAGGGTTGATTCCCCTCCACCTCTTACGGATAAGAGTACCTCTGATGAAAAGAGGGATATGGAAAGGTGGGAGAAATTAAATCGCATGTGTATGATAATCATGAAGAAGGCCATTCCGGAAGCATTCAGTGGCACAATGTCTTATAAGATTACTACGGCTAAGGAGTTCCTTGCAGACATTGAAAAGAGGTTTGTCAAGAACGAAAAGGCTAAAATAGGTACGCTCTTGACAAGTCTAATTTCAATGAGGTATAGGGGCAAAGGCAATATCAGAGAGTACATCCTAGAGATGTTTCATCTTGCTTCAAAGTTGAAAGTACTTAAGCTTAAACTCTCTGAGGATTTGCTGGTGCATCTGGTTTTGATATCCCTTCCGGCACAATTTAACCAGTTTAAGGTGAGGTACAACTGTCAGAAAGTGACTTGGTCTCTGAATGAGCTCATATCACACTGTGTTCAGGAAGAGGAAAGGCTGAAGCAAGATAAGACAGAAAGTGCTCACCTGGCCTCAACCTCTAAGGATAAGGACAAGGGAAAGAAAAGGAAGAAGGAAGTTGCAGATACAGCACCTCAGAAGAAACAACAAAAGAAACCGGTTGAACTGAAAGGTACGGGTTGTTACTTCTGTGGAGTTGAAGGGCATAAGAAGAAGCATTACACCAACTATCACGCATGGCGTGCTAAGAAAAGTATGCTTCTTAATTTGGTCTATTATGAGGTTAATTTAACTTCGGTACCTAGACACACGTGGTGGATAGATTCTGATGCAACAACTCACATCAGTGTGTCTATGTAGGGTTGCCTGAGTTGCCGAAAGCCAGGTAATGGTGAAAGATATATCTATGTGGGCGATGGCAAGACGGTTCAAGTTGAAGCAATAGAAAAATTTAGATTATTATTAAAGACTGGATTTTATTTGGATCTTGATGAGACATTTATTGTACCATTTTTTAGACGGAATTTGATTTCTATTTCTGCTTTGGACAAATCTGGTTATTCTTATTCATTTGGGAATGGAAAATTTAATTTGTTTCATGATTCAAAATTGGTTGGTTCTGGTTCTTTGTCAGGTTATGATAATCTTTATTTAATTGATACAATTGCTTCATTTAATGAATCCCTACAATTAAGCACATGAGGTATAAAGAGAAAATTCACCAGTGAGAATTCGGCTGCGTTATGGCACAAGAGATTAAGTCATATCGCCAGCCGGAGAATAGAGAGACTTATGTCAGACGAAATTCTAAACCCGTGTTAACTGTATAAAGGGGAAACAAACCAATAAAATGATATTTGAAGCCAACAGGACTTTAGACGTATATGAACTTATACATACGGACATTTGTGGGTCATTCCCTACGGTTTCTTGGAATGGACAATAATATTTTATAACGTTCATAGACGATTTTTCTAGATATGGCTACATATATCTCATTCATGAAAAATCACAATCGTTGGATGTGTTAAAAAATTATAAGGCTGAAGTTGAGAACCAACTCAGCAAAAGAATCAAAAGTGTCAATTCTGATCGTGGTGGTGAATACTATGGTAGATATGACGATTCATGTGAACAACGTCCAGGACTGTTTGCTAAGTTCCTAGAGGAATGCAATATCGTCCCACAATACACTATGTCGGGTTCGCCCATTATGAATGGTGTTGCTAAAAGATGAAACAAGACGCTTAAGGACATGGTGAGGAGTATGATTTGTCATTCAACCTTACCAGAATCACTCTAGGGAGAAGCGCTTAAGACTGCAGCATATATCTTTAACAGGGTTCCAACTTAAGCGACTAACAAAACCCCTTACGAGCTTTGGACGAGCAAGAAGCCTAGTTTAAAGTACTTGTATGTTTGGGGATGTCCATCTGAGGCAAGGCCTTATAGGCCTAATGAAAAGAGACTGGACTCAAGGACGGTGAGTTGCTATTTTATTGGATACTCTGAAAGATCCAGGGGGTACAAGTTTAATGATCCCACGACTAAGTCAATTTTAGAGTCGGGAAATGCCCGGTTCTTTGAGGATGTCAAGTTTGCTGGGGGAGATACAGTTAGGCACTTTATCTTCGAAGAGAAATATGTTGATATTCCCACATGTGCTATTGGCATTGATCAGGATCTCATTCTTGACATTGTTCAAGACACAACAGATCAAGACAATGTCAGATAACCTCTTATAGAAGAAGTTGTTCCAGAAGAACAAACTCTACCACCTCAAGAACCTATGCCATTAAGGAGGTCCACTAGAGAAATGAGAAGTACGGTGCCAGATGACTACATTGTATTTCTCCAAGAACATGAGGTAGACATTGGAGTGATGAATGATGATCCGATCAACTTCCGTCAAGCCATGGAAAGTTCTAACTCTCAGAAGTGGATTGATGCCATGAATGAGAAGATTAAGTCCATGAAGGACAATGACGTGTGGGATCTTGTCCCATTGCTAGAAGGTGCGAAACCCATTGGTTGCAAATGGATATTTAAGACCAAGAGGGATTCAAAAGGCGATGTGGAGAGGTACAAGGTGCGTCTTGTCGCAAAAGGATTTACACAAAAAAAAGGCATTGACTATAGAGACTTTCTCTCCGGTTTCTTCAAAAGATTCTTTTAGGATTATAATGGCATTGGTGGCGCATTTCAATCTTGAGTTACATCAGATGGATTTAAAGACAACGTTTCTCAATGGAAACATTGATGAGACAATCTATATGGTGCAACCAGGAAACTATGTGTCGGGAGACCCAAAGAATATGGTTTGCAAACTTAAGAAATCCATCTATGGGCTCAAACAAGCATCTCGACAATGGTATTTCATGTTTCATCAAGTGATCTTCTCGTTCGGTTTTGAGATGAATTTGGCCGATAATTGCATATACCATAAGTTTTGTGGGAGTAAGTATATTTTTCTGATTTTATAGGTCGATGATATTTTGCTTGCCAGCAACAATATAGGCTTATTGTACGAAACCAAGAGATTTCTAGCTAAGAATTTTGAGATGAAAGATCTTGGTGACGCCTTTTTTGTATTAGGCATACAGATACACCAGGATTGCTCTCGGGGTATTCTTGGATTATCACAAAAGAGCTATATCGAAAAGGTTCTCAAGAGATATGGCATGTAGGATTGCAAACCAGGTGATACCCCTCTGGCTAAGGGAGACAAGTTTAGTCTCAATCAGTGCCCTAAGAATGATTTTGAGGAAAAGGAAATGCAGAAGATCCTTATGCATCAGCAATATGAAGTCTAATGTATGCTCAGGTTTGTACGCGTCCGGATATTGCGTATGTTACTGGGATGTTAGGCATGTATTTATGTAATCCAGAGTAGACCATTGGAAAGCAGCCAAACGGGTCTTGCGGTACTTACAGAGAACAAAAGACTACATGCTCACGTATCGGAGGCCGGGTCAGCTTGAGATCGTTAGGTATACTGACTTCGATTTTGCTGGATGCCTAGATAGTATAAAATCTACGTCGGGCTATATCTACCTGTTAGCTGGAGGTGTTGTGTCCTGGAAGAGTGCTAAACAATCTCTTATAGCCTCTTCTACCATGGCAGTAGAGTTCATAGCATGTTATGAGGCGTCCAATCACAGAATATGGTTGCGGAATTTTATCACCGGGCTGCACATAGTGGACGACATTGAAAGGCACTCAAGTTATTTTGTGACAATAAGTCTGTAGTTCTGCATTTCAACAACAACAGGAGCTCGACGAAGTCAACGCATATAGACATCAAGGTCCTAGTTGTCAAGGAAAGAGTTCAGAGTGGATAATTGTCTATAGAGCACATCGGTACAAACCCCATGGTTGCGGATCCGCTTACTAAGGGATTGCCACCCAAAGTGTTTCATGAGCACACTGCTTGTATAGGTGTCATGTCATTATAGGATATTCAGTTTTAGTGGGAGGTTGTAATTTTAAATGCTTCTATGATATAGACATATTTTCAGTTATTTCAGTTTATGGATATTTTGAGGTTATTTTCTGCAGAAATAAAGTTTTAATTTATTCACACTTTGATTTTGGTATGGTTTGATCTCACTAAGGTTTAAGGTGGACCAGTTGAAAATAGGCGTGTTAAGATCACATTACATGAAATTTTTATGCTACACATTCACATCATGATCTATGTCATTCAGTTGTATTGGCATACGTGACTGACAGCAAAGTTGAGCTCATACGGCTATTTTTACAAAGCATAATTATAAGGTTACACATATAGCCCAAGTGGGAGATTGTTGGATCATTAATCCAATATTGAGCTTATATGTGAATAATTATGTGTTGCGGGCTGTCATATAAGGTTAAGCCCAATTAAAAGTGATCTACTAAGGTTTGAGTATTTTGGGTTTTAATGTATCTAATAGGGTGTGGGCCTTTAATATGTAGAGACTTAAGGGTAATTTCTATTTTTATGATAGACTAAAATAGAAATATCAAAAGATAACAGGGAAGTTTTCTATAAATAGCAGTTATGGTCCCCAGATTACACGTTACATTCTATTCATTCTGACATCCTATCATCAGATAGAGTATAGAGAAAAAGTTAAAGAGTTTTCAAGAAAACGAGTTGATCTGGAAGACAAATTACACGACTCTAGAGAGAAATCAATCAATATGAATTCCGCTTACAGATTTATTAATTCTTGATAATCTAACATAAATGTAATTGACTTTTGGGTGATGGTTTTAACTAAATTATTAATTTCTAACAAAAAAATTCATTTATTGTCTACAAGAAACTTCTCACATCAATTAGGAGTTCGGATAACGTTAGTATTAATTAGTATACGAAAACTCTGGAGTATGACATCTCTTAGTACTATAGCTGGAGGAAAAAAAATGGAACGTACCATGAGTATGGCTTTGAGTTGGGCCATGGTAATTGATGTTTCACTATCTTCATTGCCCTCTTGACTATCCAACAGGAACTGAAGAAAGTCCTTCCTCATCTCCTTATTATTTTCTTGTACTCCAGAGCGTCCCTTGTCATTATTTCTCATCTCATTCTTCCGTTGCTCAATGGCGGAATCGAACATCCTATCGAAAACCATCGTCAGTCTCCTCGTCTCCTTCTCTATTCCTTGCACGTCAAGCCACGACAGCGCCGGGAAAACGTCCGACACGTTCGGTTTCCCGACAAGAAACAAGATGTCAGCCACTGCCTTTCGAAACTGGGGGTCGTTCACCGCCTCCGCCTCCTCTCCTGGCAGCGAACCGCCCCATATCATTCTCAACATGGAGTTAATGGAAGTCATATACGCCAGGTGATTTATGTCTATCGGTTGACCAATCCTCTGGTAGACATAGAGAATAGACTTCTTAACTTCTTCTCTTCTGAGGCTGCACAAACTGTCCAACACTGCGTTGTTCATGACTTCTTGGGCAAATACTTTCCGGAGCTTTTTCCAAGCCGATCCGTAGGGTGTAAAAGCGATGTCGTTTCCTCCAAAAGTCGAGATCGTTACCGAGATGTTGAGGACGTGGTTGGCGAACACCTTGTCTTTGTCTCGGACCATTTCTCTATATAGAGATGGTGAGGTGAGCACTATACATGTTTGGCTTCCGAGGGAGAACTTGAAAATGGGGCCGTAGAGGCTTGCCAAATTGGCGAATTGCCGGTGAAGGTCTCTTTCCAAGAAGGGAAGGTATCCGAGTATCGGCAACCCACGGGGGCCCGGTGGAAGAGGCGGCGGTGGAGGGAGCCTCGAGGTCATGGCCGTCCCCCGCCGCAAATAGTACCATAAGACCCCGAAAATGGCGGTGAGGGAAAGGGTGACGAAGAGGTCGCTAAGATCAACCTCTAGTTCTCCATGTTTCTGAATGATATTCCACATGGTTGAAGAGAAAAAAGCGTTGGACATAAAAGGCAGGCTTTTCCGTGTATAAGATGAACAATACAGCTTGTAAATTGGAAGTTTAATTTATGGAGGAAAACAGTCTGTAATTTCTTCTTGCTCTGCCACTTGGTTGTCAATTTTAGCTAATATAATTAATGCAGATTCATAAGCGGTTGGATTAGGCTTAGGCCCAAAGGCTCAAAATTGGTAGTCCAAGATTTATGATTGAGTCCATAAAATTGTGTAGATTAGATTTAGCCAAGTAACTAGATGATGATCAAGTTAAATAAATTGTTAAAAATTGGCCAAATTTTAGCCATAAGTTTTTCGTGGCCACGGTTAGTTTTTGGAGCTTATATAAGGGGCCTTGGAGCAAGGGCTTAAGCATCTCATTCTCATCCTTCGGTAAGAATTCTCATAGTGTGAGAGAAATTTAGTTTCTCCAGTTTTTCTTCTTTTGTGAGGTGTTTTTTCTATTTTTATGAGAGTGGTTATTATTGTTCTCTCCGTGTAATTTAGAGGGAAGATTGTAATTCTCATTTTTCATAGTGAAATCCTTCTACATTTGTCTCGTGATTTTTACCCCATCTCCTTTGGGGGTTTTCTACGTAAAATACTCTGTGTCCATATTATCTTCATTTTTACTCATTTCTTATTTTACCGTCAGATTTACCAACAACTGGTATCAGTGTCATCCAGGCTCAGAGCGTCCAGGTGAAGTTACTATTCATGACGGAGTTACTGTTCAAGTATATGGTACTATTCACGTATCCGGTATTGTTCACGGTGCGGATAAGTGTGGCGTAAGTAGGTTCTGTCTAGGAGGCTGGAACTTAAGTGGTCCACCTAAGACCCTCCACGCCTTTCTTAGGAACTTTCTTAGTAAGGTGGTTCTGTCTAGGAGGTTGTGTGGATCTATCATTTATTGATATAACCGGTCATTTACAGTCTTATCTGGAAAGTCAGTATAGTTACTGTACGTGTACTGTTCACAGCTATAGTGAAACGGTGGGAGCTAAGCAAATCACGAAATGGCTGAAAAATTCCAAATAGAGAAGTTGGACGGAACCAATTTCACGTTGTGGAAAATAAAGATGCACGTAATTTTTTGGAAGGATAATTGTTTGGCGACTATTGGAGAAAGACCACACTAAATCACAGACAATGGCAAGTGGAATGAGACAGATGGTAATGCTATTGCTAATTTGCACCTGGCATTAGCAGACCAGGTTCTATCAAGTATCGCAGAGAAGAAAACAGCGAAAGACATTTGGGATACTCTGATGATGTTGTACAAGTCCAAGTCACTTCACACCAAAATTTTCTTAAAGAGATGACTTTATACTCTACAGATGGCAGAATCCGCACATGGTAACCGACCATATCAATAACTTGCAGGCTTTATTCGCTCAGCTTACATCGTTGGGTCAGAATATTGAGGAAAATGAACATACAGAGATTCTTGTTCAAACTCTATCTGATTCGTATGATCAACTCATCATCAACATAGCCAATAGTAATGTTGTAGAAAGCCTACACTTTAAAGATGTTGCAGGTGCAGTCCTCGAAGAAGAAAGTCGGTGCAAGAACAAGGAAGATAGGTTGGAAAGCTTATAGTAAGCAAAAGATTTGACAAGGATGAGAGGGAGATCAGCGGAACGTGACCCCAATGGGAGTCAAAGTCATGGTAGATCAAAATCCATGAGTAAGAAGAAGAACATGATGTCACGACTGTGGCAATTAGTGGCTAAATGGTGGCCAAGTAAAATGGGTAGTCACAAATTGACCAATTCTTAGCCGCAGGTTTTTTGGGGCCACGGTTAGTTCTTGGAGCTTATATAAAGGGGCTTCGAGGAGGGGTTTAAGCATCTCATTCTCACCATTAAGTGAGAATTCCTATAGTGTGAGAGAAATTTAATATCTCCAGTTTTTCTTCTTTTATGAGATGTTTCTCCTATTTACATGAGAGAATGGTTCTTATTGTTCTCTCCGTGTAATATAGAGAAGGTTGTAATCCTCATTTTTCATAGTGAAATCGTTTTACACTTGTCCCGTAATTTTTACCCTGTATCCTTTAGAGATTTTTCACATAAAATACTCTGTGTCCATATTATCTTTATATTTACTCATTTCTTATTTTACCGTCAGATTTATCAACATAAGCTTTGATACACAAAATTGAGGCAGCACAAAACATGACTAATAGCTAGGTGATCTGTTGTTTTGTAATTTTTTCAATTTCATGAAATTAGTTTTCTGTTATTCCTTTTGTTTTACATTGGCTAAGCGTTGAAAATTTGTACTTGATTGATTATATTTTTGTGAGAATTAAGATGGGAGGATCGAAAATAATTAATAGTTTAATAAGGTGCCAAATTAGTAACATATATATTTAGTTTATTGTGAAAATGTCTCGTATGTTGTTAAATTTCTACTGTTATATTACTTAGGAGACGTTTGGTTCATAGATTAAAATCATGTGATTAGAATTATTTTTTATTTACGTGTATTTTTTGTGAGAGAAAACACTGTAACGAATCATGAACTATAATTCAAATCATAATTTAAATCTTCCAACCAAACATCTCCTTAATTAACATTCAAAATAAGTAAGTGTGTAAATCATTCCAACTTGTGCAACCTATTTACAACGTGAATACATGCTAAGTATTTTTTTTTTTTTTTAATCCACTATGAGTTAACCTTAGTCTTGATGCTTTGAATGGGGATTCAGTTGGTAAGATGGTGCGCATTTAAGGCCGGATGTTATTCCACGTGAAAGTGTTGTGGACCAAATTGATAACCAGGTGTAGGCCGGCGGAATAAGATCCCATCTATGTTTCCATTTTTATTTAGGGTTCGTTTGGTTAGAGGATTCAAATCATGTGATTCGAATTATTTTTAATTTATGTGTATTTTTTATGAGAAAAAATATTAGAGGATTCAAATCATGTGATTCGAACTATTTTTAATTTATGTGTATTTTTTATGAGAAAAAATACTATAACGAACTACGAATCATAATTTAAATTAAAGAAAGAATTCCTCTACCAAACGCCCCCTTAGTATTTTGTTCATTATTAAGAAACAAAAAAAAACAATATCCTAAATAGTGAAAGACAACATCCACGTGAAATGGTGCGGAAAAAATTGATAACTTATTTTGGTGGGCCCACCCATTTACGTAATAAGATGCCATCTGTTCAGTGAACATCGAGAAAGGCCTTCTCCTTTAGTCAGACGAGCCTTAAATTATAAGCTTCTTTTTCGGAAGAAGTCAAGAAGATAAGGTGGAGTTGTCAAATGTGCGTTTGACCTTAGACTTGTGGCGGACTTGAGCCGTGTCTGGCATGGCTTTATACAGTATAAGATCATGTCAGGATCAGGTTTGAGGAGAAAATCTCAGACCCAGTCTAGATTCGCGGTCTTCGTCTATAAGAGCCTGAGTCCAGGCTCTTTATGGGTCAGTCATAATTTTTGTAATTTTTTTAAAATTTAATTAAAAAATATATATTATATGCTTTTAAAATATATAATTTTATTGAATTAAAATAATACGAATAAGTACACATAAATAACTGACTCGTTAAAAATTTTATTAAGTAAAATCTGTAGTGAGATTGGGACAAGAATTTAACGGATGAAAAAAGAGTACGATATAAAATAGGAATAGTAATAGTGCTTATTGGTGGGAATTCTAGGAATTGTGATGTGAGTGATAGTGTTTGTTGGCGTGAGTCTACACTCCCACATTGGTACAATAGTAGAGATACTTTTTAATATATATCCAGATGACAAGTACCCTTACTATTTTTATTAAAAAAGTGTTTTTTACAATACTTACATACCGCACGAGTTTTCATTTCACCTGTTTTTAAATTTGGTCGGGGCTCCTTTGTGAAATGTTGTCATGCAGGAGAAGTTCATGGTCTTTTTTCCCTGGTGGGTTCTCTAAATTTCTCGTTGTGCACGAAAGCATTATCAACCTGAACATTTTCTGGTTCAGTGGAGGTGGGGTTGGGAGACATCATTTCATCATCGAAAAATGGCTCATCACCAAGCTCAGGAAGATCGGTGAAATCAGAGAAGTTTGATGCGGTCATTTTCTGGAAATTGATTGAATTTAAACTTTATAAATGAAATAGCAAGAAATAAGTGATCGTGAGAAAAAAGCTTAGAATCGAAATTAAAGAGACAAGATGAGAGATATAATGAGAGTGAGATAAAAAGTTGAGAGTAAATTGTTGTGTGGAAAGGGGTATTTATAGGGGTTTTTGGAAGTTTTTTCAAATTGTGACTGTTGGGCCCGCGAAGGGCCTAACAGTCACAAGAAAGGGCTGGAGGGCTTTTTCGTAGGCCTGAGCCAGGCCGAACAAGGCCCGAATCCGAGCTTAGGCCGAACTGGGCTTGGGCCGGGCCGCAGGCCCTCACAGGCTAGAGTTGGGTTTTGGCCGTGGGCTGAGAAGCCGAGACCCAGCCCTAACCCATCAAACGTGCGGGGCCGGCATGGCCCATAATAACACCGTACCGGGCCGTACCGAATCTGACACTGTTACGGGCTGGGCCGGGCCGTCCATGGACAGCCCGACCCCTTTGACACCACTAAGATAAGGTAAATTAAGAGCTCGTTTGGTTCATGGATTAAAACTATGAGATTAGAACCATTTTTTATTTACGTGTATTTTTTATGAGAGAAAATACTATAACGAACCATGAATCATAATTCGAATCAGAGAACGAATCCTCTAAGTAAATGGGCTCTAATTTACCATAAACTTATTCAGGTAATGATGCTTCTGGAAAGAAGTTCAACAATAGATTTGCAGATCGATGTTTTCTACGTACCAACTATGTCCAATTAATGTTAATTTTGTCATAATAAATTCGGGTATAATTGCGTCAGCATTGGGATCTATCCTCATCAGCACTTCGTTCTCGATCGTTGTTTTCTTTTTTTTTTTTGTTTTTTGTTTTTGGCTAATCATTCTCGATCGTTGTTTGGTCCCAAAACTCAGGCAGCAGAAGGTTCGAGATCTGCTGGTGGAGGGATCCCGGTTGCGTGAAGGACTCGTACCAAGGTTTCTTATTCCCACTTTTCAAACCAAGTTAATT